AAGTCAGAAAGGCAGGGGTGCTACCCGCCTGTGAAGCCTGTCGCTGGAGTGCATCAGCAGGGCAGGCGAGGGCGTGGGAATGGCGAGAGCTGGTCACGGGCAGGCGGCCAGCTCTCCTCTGCTAGATCCATTTATTCTGGTGCGCAGAGGAGAGGAGCAGAAGTGTTAGCTTTACACGGAGGCGTTTTGGTGTCTCCACTGGGGAGGACCCCGGGCTCACGGCCCACGCAGGAGATGCAGCTGCGGACAGTTGAGGCGGGCACAGGAAAATGCTCTCTGCTAAGAAGCTGACTGCTTTTGACCTCTCAAACCCAGCTGTGCTCTCAGCAGTAGCTCCTCCTCCTCTGCCCACATCCACCTCCCCCAGGTGAAACCCAGCTTCCCCGCCGACCTGGGGCCAGCCAGCTATGCTCTCCTCAGCTTCCTCCAGGGCTGCAGTGTAGCTACAGACGCAAACTCCCTTGCGTTGCCGTCCTTGCCTCCCTAGTCTAACTAATGAATAGGAGTTTCTTGTTTCCCTCTGTAGACCCCTATTCCTGCCTCTTTCTCCAGCTCAGTGAGGGATAAGAACAGCAACAATAATAATAATGGCAACTGTGTGCCAGGTACTCTTTTAAGCTCTTTACATGTATTATCTGTTAACCCTCAGACGGTGTCATGGAGGTACTGTTAATCCTGTCCCCACTTTAAAGATGAGAAACTGAGGCACAGATTGCTCAAGTAAACTGTCAGAGATCACACAGCTAATAAGTAGTGGAGCCAGAACTGAAAATGCAGACAGGCCAAGTCCAGAACCACAGCCCGTTCCCTCCTCCTCCTGCTATTAACAAGGATAGGGGTCGCCTAGCTGTCAAGTTCTCACAAGCCATTCCTGAATTTATTCTGCTTCATCAGCTTAAATATGTTTAGAAGAAAGCAGCTGTTTTTATTAGGAGCTTTCAGCACCTAAAAAAAGACTCATTAAAATAATAATTCACTTTGGGAATAAAATCATAATTGGGCATGTGCAACTGAATTTATATCATTAGCCTGGCCAGACTGAACACCGCTGGGACATGCCTGAGTGGGATTAGTCACTTTCTTTTAGAACCTGTCACACCTGCTGCTACTGATTTTTTTAAAGGATTTTTTTTAATTGAAGTATAGTTGATTTACAATGCTGTGTTAGTTTCTGGTATACAGCATAGTGATTCAGTTATACATATATATTTTCTTTTTTATTATATGTTATTATAAGATATTAAATATAGTTCCCTGTGCTCTACAGAAGGACCTTGTTGTTTGCTGCTATTGATTTTGATTTTACCCACTTTATATGCTTTGGGAAATGCAACCACTGAGGACTCAGCCCACATGTTCACTTTATTTACTCACAGACAACCCCCCCAACACACACAGAAGGAAGCTCAAATATCTGTCTGTTCATAAAGAGATGATATACATCAAAACTCACCCGGGCCCCACACATTCACTCAGTACCCAGAGGCACACATGGGTTCAAGCCCCAGGTGAGAAGGGATGAATTCCCAAAAGCAGGCAGTCAGACACATACAAACATGTAAATACACAGAAGCCACCTAATAATAATAATAATAATATCTAATATTTATTGGTGCTTAACATACGCCAAGCACTTAAGTGACTTTTTTATACTTTATTTCTCAACTACCTATAAGACGTGCTTTTTTTTCTCATTATCCACATTTTACAAATGGGAAAACTGAGCCACAGAGAGTTAAAATAACTTGCCCAAGGTCATACAGCTAAGAAACGGTAGGGCTCCCCAACTGCTCCTAGGAAAGAAGTAGATCCCACAGGATTGTTCTCTCCCCATACATACCTTGTACCTTAAACATCTCATGTCCAAAGCAGAACTCTTGATTCCCCTCAAAGCCTGCTGCCCCACCCCACCAATGTTGTCCCACTTCAGTGTACAGCCCTCACCGTCCATCTAGTTTCCTTAAGTCAAAGACCAGAAGGCATCCTCAGTCCCTCCCTTTCCTTCACTGGCTCATTCAATTCCTCAGCAAATTCTCAATCCATCCAGAGCCCTCCCCTTCCGCTGCTACTGCCCTCCTCCAAGCCACCACCACCTCTTGCTTGGACCATTGCGATAGCCTCTAACAAGTGTCACCGCCTCCGTGCTTACTTCTCCACCTCTATTTTCCACACATTAGACCAATTTTGATCTTTGAAAAATATCAATCAAATCACATCAGTCCCTGCTTAAAACCCTCCACTGGACTCCCTCTGCACTCAGTAGGATCGAAGGAAGGAAGGAAGGAAGGAAGGAAGGAAGGAAGGAAGGAAAGAAGGAAGGAAGGGGACTGAATTCTGTGAAGGGAAGAGATGAGTAGATAGGTAGGTGAGACAACACAGGGTTTAGACTGGAACAAGAGAAAAATGACCCAAAATGAGCAAAAGACAGAATGATTACTTTCTAACAAAATTTTCCTGAATGAAGGTAACAGTTTGATTCTATTACCATAGTTTCTGGACTGTAATTCTGTGGTGAAGTAATGTATCATGGACATAATGTCACTGCTCTCACAGGTGCTGCCCACAAAATGAGGGATCATCAACATGTTCAGATGTTTCTTTCTGAAATAGCTCACCCAGCTGGCAATCAGAGTGGACTTCCCACAACCACGTTCCCCAGATAAGAGCAGAATAGACTTGTAAGTTGGAAGAGGATTTATTCTGAAAAATAAAGGAGGGGAATGTAGTCAAGAGTAATTACAAAGGAAGGGAGGGAGGGAAATTTTTCCTGCAGATGTTTGTCTCTAAGAGAGGGGAAATTCTAGTCTCTTAACTGTGACCCCAGTTGGCTCCAAACAAACCATTTGCCCTCTGGGCTTAGGCTTTGTCCTGTGTAAAATTAGGAGAATGGAAAGATGGTAACCTTGGAAGGCTCTTCCAGCTGCCACAGACTCTAGGGTCCAACATGAACCTGTGGTTACATCAAGAGCGCAACCTGCCCAAAGGCCCAGAAGGGAGACTCTACCCGAGACTCACCAGGAGAGAAGAAAAAACTGAGACACTCATGTGCCAAGGATGCCCAGCAATCCTAATGGCCGTGACGTTAGAGAGTCAACAAAATGACCGTAACTGTCAGTGGCTCAGAAGTAGCCTGCTGCTCTATGGGGGTGTCATGGCTTATAGTAATGCAGAAATATGATTTCTGTGAACTGGTGTGAGCACAGTATACCCTTTCCCATTGCTTACTTTAGTGAAAAGCTTCTGGAAATGCAGAGTATTCCCAGGTCCATAAGTGTCACTGCATTTAGAGTCTAGCCCTATTCCTCACACACACATAATTTAATAAACATGTGTCTACTGATTTTACATTGATGAAAGTCCCAGGTAGTTACCAGGCTTATCCTACTCACTCCTGGATAGTTAGTGACTGGCATAGTACCTGATCATGCATTGCTGATTGACTGAATGAAATAAATAAACCTGACATTCAGGTTCAGCAAAGCAAGAGGATCAACCTGAAAATCCATTAAAATAGAAAACCTAAAGCAGGATCATTAAATAGTAGTTATTCCATAAGAATTCCGTCTCCATTGATATGAGTTAGGAATCAATGCCTTATTGCTTTAGTCATTTCACCATCAAATTAGAACGGATTTGATTTTATGTCCCATTTCCACCTTTGCCCTCTTTCAGTCTGTCCTCAGCCAAGCCACCAGAGTGAGCTTGTCAAATATGTCATATAGGTCATTGCTTTGCTTAAAAGCAGTAAAAGCCCAAGTCCTTACAATGATGCAAGAGACCAACCAAGACCCACACACACCCTCCTTTAATCCATTACATCTCCAACCTCACCACTGCCACCCTCCCAACAGCTCTGACTTCCTTCCAGCTGCCTGCCATTCCTCCAGCCTCGCGACCTCTGTATTTGCGGTTCCTTCTGTCTGGAGTGCTCTCCCAACTCATATTTGCATAGCTTGCTCCCTCATCTACTCCCAGCAGTTATCCAAATGCCATGTTCTCTCCTACCCAATAGCCTATTCCCTTTCAAGCTTTCATTGTGCTCCACAGCACTTATAGGCATCTAACCTACTACATATTTTCCATATCATGTTGGTTGCCTGTCTCATTAGTGTAAGCTCCACAGAGGCAGGATCCTCGTCTCTTTTGTCTCAGCTGTATCCCCTGTGTCAAGAACACTTCTTAGCACTTAGCAGGTAAAATCAATGAAGGAAAAAGACGAATATAACACACCTACATAATTAAGCTAAGGTCTTAATGACTTTTTTTCAAGAACGAATAGAAAATGAAAACATTGCCAAGCAATCTGTGGCTCCCTTCAAAAGAGAAAGAGAAAAAAAGAATGCTATTGGTCTAGGTGGTTGGTTATTAAGACAATGCTTTGAAACTTCAAAAGAATACCTTTTTCTGTTACTTGCACACACCATTCAGGAACTCATAGTGCAAAGCACTGTTTCCAGATGGCAAAGCCCTGTTTCCACACAGCTAAGCTCAAAGGACTTAATTGCTGTGTTTTTACTGGACACAATTGGCATTGTTTAATTGCAATAAAATTCCAGACCATTTTCAAGAACCCAGAAAGAAACTCCAGACCTATTAGGGAACATTTTCCTGGTTCCCCTCTTCTCTCATCCCCCCACAGCCCCTAACTTATTTTCTATTTCTATGGATTTGCCTATTCAAACCTAAGATAGCCTACATATTTCACACTCTTCTAGTTTTAAAAACCTTGACTGAGCACCATGTTGTTTTAACCCAATAAATTACGTTCTTCTTGGCATGGGTTCCCAGAACCACAAGAATACTGGTAGATCTGTACCTGGTGGTGGATGCTGACACTGGGGCAGAGATGGTGGAGGACATCCCTGAGCCATCCCAGCCACTGTGGGTTTATTTCCAATCCCCAAACTCTCCCAGAATAAATGAGATCTGTGGTAAGAACTGGAGGATGAAGATGGAAAAAATACAATGATCGCAAGAACCTCCTATTTCTAAGGTTGATATTGGGAAGGACCACAGATAAACCTAGTTCTTTCTTCACAGCCCTGCCTCTTCATGCCTGTGGGTGGTGAACACAGTACATCACCCCCCAGAAAGGGGAAAGATATGGGGGTCTGAATGCAGAAGAACTGGACAAAACAGTGAAGGAGTGCAAACTTTGGGTAAGATAACTCGATTCCTTACACACAAACACAAATAATGATATGGCCCACGGTAAGCATTTAGTAAGTGTCGGCTGAATATCTTAATGTAATTAATAATGAGCTGATGATGTATGTGGAAATTCTTTGTAAAATACACAGTTCTGTACAGATGCATTATTCTTATTTCCTAATCCAATTTCTTCTCAAAATCATTCCATCATTGTCAAGAATTACTTAGACCAACTTTGATTTAGGGTAGAAAAAAAGAAGGCAAGCCCTCTGCCCTCCAGGGCTTACAATCTTCTTGAGGATACTGGAAAAAATAGTGAAATAGTCAGGAAAACTTGGCAGTTTCAAAGTGATATCTGATAAGGAAATTTTAACTCAGGGTTGGCTTTTAGGGAGCCTCTCTTGCAGGAAGGGGTGCACAGGAAGGGAAGACATTACAAATTTGGGGGATCATATTCACTGAAGGCAGGTTGTTTTGCTTGGTATTTCTTAACATCTGACCTGAGAACACAGTCTAACCTGGAACCTGCTGCGGTGTTGTTAACATCAAATTTCACATCCTTTAAGGCAAATCTTTCCAAGATTTCAAAGGTTCTATTTGACTCCTTGGAAATAAACACTTCCTTATATTTTCAGTGAACTCTTCATGATAAAAACGTTCAAAGTTGTGCTTGTGGTCTTTACAGACAAAGAGAGATGTTTTAACGTCTTAGATTTGCAGTTTCCATTACACTTGGTTATTGTAAATGCCCAAGAAAGTACCTCCCCTTCTGTATCTGTATTACCTTCTTTTTACGTTAGTGCCATATTTCATAGCCCATTCTAAAATCTAATGAAAGGAAACTATGCAAGCAATTTAATCTTCTTAATGCTATTCATACATGAAATCCTACTTAGGATTCCATGTTATTTCATGACCTCAGAATGATGAGGGCAAAAAAAAATTGCATTTGCTACATTTATCCTTTCGTCTTTTTAGATTGTTAGGTAAGTATGAAGTTCCCTAATTGAATCTCGTGGCATATGTGTGTGTTTCTAAGCATTGCAGTGGTTTGGAGAGTGGGGTGTGTTTCCAGGATAAGATGCCCTAATACAATGACAACCATGGGTACAGTTGCAACTCTGCCATTTTGTCCCTCAAACACTCAGGTAAAATAAGTGGCAAGGCCAGACAACTGGATCTCTGAGATTCCTTTCAGTTTCAATTTACTGTGGTACTAAACTCATTGCCTAATTAAAGTCAGGGTGTTCTGGACGGCCAAAATATCCTCCTGTCTCTGGTGACACCTGTATCTCCCCGTTTTGGGGGGTTTGTTGTTTTTTCTAATGGGGTAGGGAAGGAAAATGAACATCAGATAGTTTAACCTGGTAAGATCACAGGGTAAGGCTGCCCTGTGATTCAGGTTAGGGCCAGAATAGAGCTGGAGCAACAGCTCAGGCTAGGTCAGCCTCAAATTTCAAGATCTTAGACAGACTTAGAGATGATCCCACTTGAACCTCTCTCACTAGTCTTAGGTATCTCCAAGGACCTCAGAAGTGCTTCTAAAAGTCAGGAGTATGAACTGACAGCTCTACATTACCTTATAATAACCATTAGCTACCCAAATGGCTGATTGCTACCGCAGTTGTGAGATTTTGGAACTACCTAGGTGATAAAGGTTATTGAAGATCCAAAAGAAAAATAATTTAGCCCTTCTTTCTGAAGTTTTTTAAAAATAATAATCCATACTGTCGCAAATGCAGACATGTAGTCCATATATTATATATTCAAAACTAAAGTCTAAAACAAGCTAATCTTTCAATAATAACCAAAATCAAAGACTAAAGAGAATATTATGGAGAAATGATCTGTCTCTAACCCAAATACACAGAAAGGCTTGATTCTTGAACATGTTAGTAAATTTTAATCAGTGGATGCAGTTCAGATTGAGATCAGTCGAAGAATACCACTATTAACCATATTTCAGGCTTTAGCCAAATATACACTATATTCTCTCAGGACTCATTTTTTATTATTTATTCTCATTAGCTTATTATGTGTCAGGCACTGTTTTTACGTGCTTTACATGTATTATTACTCTCAAAGTGATTACTGTTAACCCATTATATAGAAGAAAGCTAGGCTTACCAATATGTCATTTTCTCAAGGTCACATAGTTAGGAACTGAAAAATCTGGGCTCTGAGAACATATCTGTCCTTAGATATTCTAAAACTCCAAGCCTGTAGCAAATATTCAAGATATTCTGGGACTGCTCAATATCCATTCATCCTATCCTAATTTCAGTAACAACCCCAGATTATTTTGGGGGATCCCACCTCGTCCCAACTCTCAGTTCATGTTACTGTGGTGGATATGACTTCCTCTAGGCTCCAGAGGTGTGATACAACGCAGGATTAGCCAATCAGAGCATCACACTCTCTTGGCTCCAGTGATTGAGTCACATACAAGTTTATGGTCCAAGTCTGGCTAATCAGAGACAGAAAGGCTCAGTGCCAGGGCTTCGAGCCATGTCTGCAGAACTTGAACCTGGAGCTGCTATAGCCATTTTCCTTCCATAATGGAGGAACCAAGGAGTTGAGGCAACATCAGGACAGCAGAACCATGCAGAGAAACAATGAGAAACCAGGGCCTGGTAACATCATTTGAACCACTATATAAAGTCTGACCTGAAAGTTAAATTAACTAATATATCCCCTTTTTGTTGAAACCAGTTTGAGTCATTTGCAACTCAAAGAGTAATGATTGATACAATATTCTTTTCTAGGGCTCCAAAATGATTTGGCTTGTAGGCAGAGCTTTGTTTGACCAGCACAGGTGGGATTTCATGCCCCACCGGAAGCAATGAATGTGAATGATTTTTGGTGGGTCAACTCCCTCCCATTCAGTTGACCACAGATCCATCTGCTCCCTATCATATTACAAGGACTATGCCTGCCTAGTCTCTGAAAGCATTTGAGAATGCACCACCTGCATTATGCATTCCCACATTAATTGGACCCTTAAAATAGTAATTCATAGTCTTTTTGGGGTCACTGAACCTTTTGAGTCTGATCAAAGACAGAAGCCAGCTTCCCATCTCCCAAAACACACATATGCATGTAAACATCCTATTTTTCATATAATTTGAAGGGTGCCATAGATCCCTCCCAAAGTCTGTCCAGGTAAAGAATCTCTGCCCTATTCTGATATTTTCTTCCCTTTTTAATCCATACATATTCACGAGACACTATTTTCAAAATAAATGTAATCATTTCATTTAGAGGCAAGATGATGTCAGGTGATACTTCTCAAACTTTCATGCATGCAACTCATCTGGTCTTTATTGAAATGCAAATTCTAATTCACTAGACCTGGACTGCATTTCCAGCAAGTTCCTAGGTGATGCCAAGCCTACTGGTCCATAGAGTACTCTTTCAGTAGTAAGGATGAAGGCAAAAGAGCATGGATTTTGGAGTCAAAAGGACCTGGGTTCAGTCCTGGAACGATCTCTCACTGATGATGTGACATTAGATTAAGTCACTTAATTGCTATACAGCAGCTTTCATTTGTTTATCTGTGAAATAGGAATTACAGCACTTACCTTGCAGGGCTAAACCTTGAAGATTACATGTGATAAGACACAAAAAGGACTTGACGATTAAGAAAAGTTCTCTTCCCTTTAGATCAGAGTTTCTCAACCTTGGCATTATTGACATTTGGGGTTGGAAAATTCTTTATTATGGGGGGACAGTCTGTGCAATGTAGGATGTTTAGCCATATCTCTCACCTCCATCTGTTAGATGCCAGAAGAATACCCCCAACTGTGGCACCAAAAACATCTTCAAATGTGGCCAAAAGTCCCTTGGGGCCAAAAATCAGCCCTGGTTGAGAACCTCTGCTCTGGATCTACATGTTAGCTGCCAGATATTTTATCTTCTCAGAGCTCTTTGACTTCCTAAATCATATTCCATAACTCACTATTTGCGCTTATTCTCAGTTTCAAAAACCTTCAAATGAAGAAGTGCATGTTACAAGCATATGGTAACCATTTTAAATGCTTCAGGAATATTTTCAGTCATTTAAAATCTTCTTTCACAAGAAGACATACAGAACACTTGAGCCTATGACAACAGACAGCTATCTCCATATGTACTCACCTATATTTTCCATCAGTAAAGTGGCTGGTGAAAGTGTTTCTATCACAACCGACCAGTTCTGGAGAGCCAGCTCACCCAACTCATGGAGATCTCTATAAAATCTGACAGGGAGCCCTTTGCTAATAATCTTGGCCTTAAGCTTCCCCATCTTTAATTTTAACTCGTCGTTTGTCAGAAAACCTGAGGATATTATCTCCTTCTTTTCCTCATCCAAAGTCTTCAGCAGCATGATTTCTGTCTTACAGTAAAAATACTGAAATTGAGACTCATTCAGAAATGCTGCTTGGATGATCTCTAATTCCATCAGACTGCAGTCAGCATTCTCCAGGACCCAGGGATAACTGTTTTTTGCAGCAACATAGAGATTCTGTTCCACTATGGATAAAGTTGACAAGTCAGTTGCCTCGGAGAACAGGACTGGTGAGTAGTCAGGGACAAAGTCCCCATATGTCTGACCCAGCAAGTAGATAAAAAAGGGAAAGCAGCTGTTCATGTAGTCGAGACAGAGCTTCAGATGTTGCAAGTGGAGATGAAAATGATGTCTAAACAGGCTGGAGGGTAAGGGTGCCTGGGCCTTCAACGCTGACCACCTCAGGTCCACAGCTTTGAAGTACGTGCCCCGGGAATTGCAGAGTTCATTCAGCTGAGGGAAGATGTAGTTTGCCAAAAAGTTTCTCTCTTCTTGAAAATCATTCAGAGTCAAGCAGAGGTAAGGCTAAATGGGTTTCTGGGGCTGTAAAAGGAATTGGGCATTGCTGTCTACATTCTCATTTGCCTTCTGGCTCATTTCACTTTGCTTAGAGATGACATCACCCTTAAACCAAAACAATTTTCATCCTGGTGCAGCCACTGACCTTTACTGCTTCTGGGACTTCCTCCTAATTATGTCTGCTATAAACAGACTGGAATCCTTGTCCAAAATTTCTTCCCTATAGATATTTGACGGTGAGTGATGCCAACCAAGGGACAGATCAGAGTTGAAAAACAATCTAGTTTAAGTAAGGACTGAAAAAGAAAAAAACACATTCTTTTTAGGATTACAGGCCACATCTCCCGTTTCCCCAAAGCTTTTGCTGAAGAGCTGAGAACCACATATGGTGAACAGGCACTGGACACAAGGCCCTCCCTCTTTTCCTCAGCCCCCCATTCCACCTTCCCAGTGTTCCTTCAGCCACCTGCTACTTCTGCCTCCCTGTGAATTTGGAAACTAGGCAAGGGGACTTGCTGAGAGTGTGAAAAGGAAGACTAATGCAGGAAAGGAGCCTAATACATCTAGGAGCAGAATAAGCCAAGGCCCATGACCGTGACTGGGAGCAAAACTGAAAATAGGTACGAAGTTGAAGTCAGGACAAGAGGAACAAACAAAATATAATAAGACCCAAGGCCAGTAATGCACCTGCCATCTGAGAGGCAAGGAAGTTTGGATCTAAGAACTTGATGGAGTTCTGTGATTATTTTTATCTTAAGTTGTGCAGGCTCATACAACATGTGCTGGGAATTCAGTTCCACTGAGCTAGTGGAAAAACACATGCCCTCCAATAATGAGGTAGATATGTTTGCATCTTGTTCAGAAGCAAAAAATCAAATGGAAACTACCTAGTTTTATGAACTTTATCTTAGATGCAACTCATTTCTGTATCAGATGTTGCTTTTTTTTATTATGTTTGTTGCTTTCACCTATGGAGAAACATACCACGTTGTCACATATAGGGCAATTTTTCATCAAGAGCACCTGACAAGAATATAATGATGCAGTACCTTTTTAAAAAGTGTTAACCCTTTTGCATTTCACTGTCACAATAATCCTATGATAGATAATATGACCACCCTACTTTACTGCTGAAGAAACAAAAGTTCAGACGGGATAAGCAACGCATCCAAAGTCACTTGGCTAGTAAGTGAAGAGGCAGGATCTGAACACAGGTCAGCCTGACTCTAGAACACATACATTCTACTACCACCATATTATAGAGATAAGACCCTAGGTCTTGAAGATACCGCAAGTCAACAGGTGGGAAACACAAAGCAAAACATGATATTACAATAAATAGGTGACAGTTTGAAAAAATTACTTCAAACCATAATCTCACACTGCTGTACCAAAAATAAAATCTAAAAGATGACAGAATAGGCATCATGGGCACTTTATTAATGGACTTTTCACCTATCATGTAGAAGGCGAGAATTAGATTATCAGCCCTTGAAAACATCCACTTTCTCCTATTCCCAAGTGATCAGAGGTAATTTCTATCTTGGTCTCTTCCATGTCCCCAACACTTAGTATAAGGACTGGCTCAAAGTAGGTGATAGGTGAATATTTGCTGAATGAAAGAATTTAATATAATTTTTAAATGAAAATAAAACATAATTAAATATTTATCAAACTTGGAAAGGACTTCTAAAACTTATAAGCTGTAGAAGAAATCACAAAAGAGAAGATGGACAGATAATAATTACATTTTTAAAAGACTTAACGGCAAACAACAGACTGTAAAAAATATTTGCCACAAATAAATTTATCTTTATTCTAAGAAAAATACTGACATCCTACTAGACACATAAGCAAAAGATACAAATAGATAAAAAGAAAAATAACAAGCACAGTAATACACATAAAAGCTTATTTATCTTTTCTAGAATTCAAGGAAACTTAAAAGTAAGAAATAATATAGTTTTTTTTTAAGTATAGTTTTCTAAATATTGGCACAACTTATATTTCACCTATAGCTATGGAATTGTAAATTGGTAATTTTAGAAAGCTATATCTGGAGAGTAAATGGTGATATACTTCAAAATATATTAAAGTGCTTTTAAATTTTGACTCAGTGATTCTACTTTCTGGGAATCATTCCAAGGAACTATTCAAAAGAGTGAAAAACTAGAACCATTAAGATCTTCACTGCATTGTTTATGATAAAAAAATAATAAAAGAAAGAAAGCAAACTAAATGGTCTCCATGAAAGACATAATTAAGAGGATAAAAGCATAGCCACTGATGGCAGGTGGTATACATATTAAAAAACAGTTATGACTTCTGCTTCCAGCCATGATAAAATAACAGGGAACAGACCTACCTACCCTCTTCAAAAAACCAGAAAACTGGACAAAATACATGAATTACCTATTTTCAGATATTATACATCAGGCAGCACAGAAGTGTGATCCCTGAGAGAAGTAAACTAGAGGAGTTATATTATCATCAGAAAAAGGAGACTTTAGAACAAGTGTCACTAGGAATAGAAAGTGACATTACATAATGACAAAGTAGTCAATTCACCAAGAAGACATAATAGTTCTAAGTGTATACGTACCTAACAACAGAGCTGCAAAATACACAAAGCAACACTGGTAGAAATGAAAGGAGAAACAGATAAATCTTTAATATGGTTAGAGATTTCAACATTCCTCTCTTAGTGATTGATTAAGTAGACAGATAATCAGCAAAGATATAGAAGATCTGAAACAACTGATTTTTGAACATTCCACCCAATAATAGCAGAAAACAGATTCTTCTCATCTGCACACAGAATACCAAGATAGACTGTGTTCTAGGCCACGGGTCAACAAGCTACAACCTAAAGGCTAAGACCTAGCTATTGCCTGTTTCTATAAAGAACATTTCCTGGGAACACAGCCACTTCTATTCATATTAAATATTTCATATTACAACAGCAGAGTTGAGTTGTGACAGAGATCATGTGGCCCACAAAGCCGGAAAGATTTTCTATCTGGCCCTTTAAGTAACAAGTTTGCCAACCTCAATTCTAGGCCTTAAACCAAAACTCAACAAATCAGAAAGAACTGAAATCATATAAAGTATGTTCTCTAACCACATACAGTTAAATTTGAAACTGATAGCAGAAAGATACCTGAAAAATTTACAAATTTTAGAAATTAAATATTACATTTCCAAATAACTCATGGGACGAAGAGGAAGGCAAAAAAAAAAATTGAAAGGTGACAGAAAGCAGATCATTAGTTGCCTGGTAGAGGGTGAGAAGGAAAAAACTGGGAAGGTGTCGGGAGCCCAGCCACCGACTAGTTAAAGAATCCAAAATAGTTGTAGTGTAAGGTGCCAAAGGACCATAGTCATGGCAGGCAGTTTTAAGCTCCTCAAGAAGTCTATAAGACAAAGGCTCCCAGGACACTTCATCATCTCCAAATTCTCCTGAAAACACCACAGGATAGCATTCTCTAAAGGTTAAATCTCCTTAACTAGTCGGTGGCTGACTCCCTATGATTGGGTTCAAATAACTAAGGCATGTCTGACTGGAGGGCAATATTTGCTATGGAGGACAGAGTTTGAGGATCTAGTCAAGCAGCAGGTAGCTATAAATAAGAAGAGTAGAAGACACTATGATATCACAATGGATATGTTACTAGGGGAAGGATATCATGACACAGCTCAGAGCCAGATGACCTTACCTAAGGATGCATTGCTACAAACTACTATATGTGCAGTTAATGCCTGGAAGAAATTACCTATTACCCCAGGAAAAGCTGCTACATTAATAGAAATTAAGCAGAAGTCTGAGGAACCATATGAAGACTTTGTTTCTAGATTGATTCAGGCAGTTCGCAGAGTAATTGCCAATGAAGAAGCTGCAGAATTACTAGTAAAGCAATTGGCTTTTGAAAATGCAAATGCAACTTGTCAGGCTTTGATTAGACCTATAAGGAAGACAGGTACAGTCACAGATTATGTGAAACAATGTGCTGATGTAGGTCCTGCCTTTGTGCAAGGAGCTACAATAGCTGCAGCCTTGAAAGGAGAGACTTTACCCCAATGCATGCAAGCCTTGATGTTAGATAAGAAGCCTAATAATTCAGCTCAGAGTCAAGTTAAATCTCAAGCCTGTTTCACTTGTGGACAACAAGGACATTTTAGTAGGCAATGTCCAAATAAGACTCAGAATCCCAGGATGAATTCTAATACTAATTCAGTTGTTCCAACTTCTCGTACTCCTGCAAATCCGAGTCGTCCTGGGACTCTCTGTCCTAGGTGTCAAAAAGGATATCACTGGGCTAGAGATTGTAAATCTAAATATCATAAAAATGGACAACCTCTAGGAAATGTCTCTTTTGTTCCTGCTTCTGAAAATCAGCAAATGGGATCGGGAAACGGCCAAAGGGCCCTGTCCCAGGGCCCCAAAATAATTGGGACATCAGCTCAATGCCCAGTGCCCTGTCAACCAGGCAGCAATCCGTTTCTCAACGTACCACAGTCTCAGAGTTGTTCAGGGCAACCCCAGGTAGTGCAGGATTGGACCTCAGTTCCTCCACCAGCACAATACTAACACCTGATGTTCCTGTGAGTAAATTACCCACTGGAGTTTATGGTCCATTGCCTGAAGGGACAGTAGGAATTATTTTGGGAAGGAGTTCAACAGCTCTACAGGGATTGATGGTCATTCCAGGAGTCATAGACTCTGATTATACTGGGGAAATTCAAGTTCTTCTAGCTCCCCCTACAGAAACAGTTCACATAGGAAAAGGTCAAAGAATTGCTCAACTATTGCTCTTTCCATATGTTCTAACTGGTAAAACCCTTTCTACTCAGGAAAGAGGCAATCAAGGTTTTGGCTCAAGTGATATGGCTTTTTGGGTTCAGAAAATTTCACAAGAAAGGCCCACTAAAGAGTTAAAAATACAAGGAAAGAAAATTGTTGGGCTCCTAGATACAGGAGCAGATGTTTATACAACATATTTTCCTAGCCTTTTCATATTTGGGAATGCCTAAACAAATAAAGACAGATAATACCCCTGCCTACATATCTAAGGCTTTTCAGAATTTTTGTGAACAATCAATTGAGATAACTCACTATCTTCGGACCAGCCTCCTCCCTAAATAGGAATTCCTTGTATTTTTAACTCTTAAGCTTGCCACACCTTTTCGGCCCACCGCCGTGCAGTGGGCCTCCTGTAGGCCTCGCCGTGCGTACAGCCTCAGGGTCTGGTGGCCGGGCTCCCGACAGGAAGGATCACAAGGGAACTCTTTAGGGCAAGAGGAAAGTTTTATATCATAATCATAGTGATAGTGAGGGGTAGCTATTCATCAAAACCTACCACCTGAACACTTAAAATGGGTGCATTTTATTATATGTAAAGTAGACCAAAATTAAGTTGATTTTTTTAAATCTGAGAACTTCACAGCAAGAGGAAAAGGTTTATAAGTAAGAGTTAAGGAAAAAGGAAAAAAGTAAGTATAAATCATAATAACAACAGTGGTAATAAAACATAGCTAAATATGGGAAACAGCACATACAGAGGTGAAAGGTCCAGACTATAGACACTATGTGAGATAATAAATGTTTATTGTTTTAAACTACATGATTTTGGGGTAATTTGTTACGCAGCAATAGCTAGTGCACAGGGTATGGCACCAGACTCAAGTTCTCCATCTGTTTTATACCCTTCAATAAGATTTTATAGTTTTCTTCATGTTGGAGCTATATCTTCCCTGACAAGTTTATTCCTAAGCATTTTATGGTTTTTGTCTTTAATATGAAAGAAATTAAAATTTTTTTCATTTCTATGTTTTTTGCAAGACTAGAGCAAGTCCATTGACGTTTATATATTTCTTATAGTCAAAAAAAAATTTCCCCCTGACTAGAGTCTCTGGGATATGTAATAAATTCACCAGTAAGAAGGAATCTCAAAATAAAAGACCTCAACTTTTCTAAAATTAATGCCAATTACTTCCTTTTCCGTCTTAGTGTTAAATCCTCCTAAACAGCGTGGGGCAATACTGATAATAGCAGGCATCTCTGTCTCGTTCCTGCTTCCTACTGAAATGAGTTTTAGTGGGTTTTTGCTTAAATTAATAGTTCAATAGTTGCTAAAAAATGCAAATTTTATTATGGAAACCAGAAATAGACTCACAGACAGAGAAAACAAACTACAGTTACCAAAGGGGTAAAGGGGAGAGAGATAAATTAGGAATTTGGGATTAACAGATACACATTACAATATACAAATTAGATAAACAACAAGGACCTACTGTATAGCACAGGGAACTATATTCAATTTCTTATAATAACATATAATGCAGAAGAATCTGAAAAAAATGTATATGTAT